TGGTTTGGAATCTGTAACTCAAACTACACATGCAATGAAGACAATATTATGCTAATACAATTGTTTTGCTTCTGCATTTGTCTACTGTTTGTCTAATATTAACAATTATAAACAGAGCAGTGCAACTAGTATTTGGAACAATCCTTATAGTGTTACAGCGTCAGGCACATTTCACTTCTCTTCACACCACTGGTTCTCCTTGCGTACCTAGAAAAGAAAGACATAAGCAATGCTTTTTCAATCATCTTCTAAGGCTTGCATATACTCACTTAAGACTCCTGATATAAGTCTCTCTCTCTCCTTGGTACTTGTAAGATCTCACTACGCAGCTCAGACTCATAGTGATCATCCTGTTTTTAGCCTTCCCAGCACTGGGATTAGAGGCATGTGCCACCACTCCCAGACTCAGACGCTGGCTCAGTGCACCCAAAGGTGTGGCATGTGGTGCTGGGGATCAAACCCAGGTCCTTGCGCTTGCCTCAGCATGCACTTAATGTACTGAGCTATCTCGCTGGACCTCTTTTACTTTCCTAAAAATAAAAAAGCATGTTATGAAAGATCACACACACACACACCCCTTACCTGGGCTTCCTCCTCTTCAGTGAAATCATTTTTGATATTAAAAGTCTTGCGAATCTCCTCAGGACTCTTCCCCTTGATCATATTGGCGACAGTCTTGCATGTAACATCAAGCAAGCCTTTGATGTCTAGGTAGTTTGCTGCCTGTAAAATGATACTGTTTTCATTAAAGCATACTATTTATTTTAATCTAAATCCAAAACTAGTTACTGATAATCCATATATAATTAAAGTGCTAATGCTAAAATTTTTTTTTTTTTTTTTTTTCAGAACAAGGGATTGCGCTCAGGCCCTTACTGAGCCATCATCTCCCCAGCCCTGCTAAACTTTAATGTCAGGAAATTAATTTCTACTCTTAATTATATTATTCAGCTGAGCATGGTGGTATACTCCTAAAAGCTAGCATTTGGGTGGCTGAGGCAGGAAGATTATTGGAAGACTGAGGCAGGAGGATTACTGGGAGTCTGAAGCCAGCCTGAACTACATAGTGAGACCCTGTTTTTTGTTTTTTGTTTTTTTTTTTTTTGTTGTTTTAAGGCTCTTACTCTTTTGCTCACTTTTGAATTTAATTACATCTTTTACTACTTTTGCAGTACTGGGGAATTAAACCCAGGGTCTCTGCCTGGGCTGTGTCCCTAACCCTTTTTTATATAAAAGACAGGATCTCACTGTAATTCAGGCTGGCCTTGAACTCAACTCCCTTTAATTATCTGAGACAAGGTCTCCCTAAATTGCCTAGAATGAGCTTAACTATAATCCTCCTGCCTCAGTCTCTCAGTGTGCTAGGATTACAGGTGTGTGTTACCATACCCAGCTCACTAGTTACATCTTTCCAAATATTGGTAATAAATGCTATCAGTTTTCCTGGAGTATCACATTAGTTGCATCCCAGATTTTTCAAGTGTTTTACTTCCATTTGACCTATGAATTATTTAGAAACGTGTTCTCAAATATTTGTAGTTCTTTCTAGCTCTCTTTTGGTTATTGGTTTTGTTTTTGTTTGGCTATTTAGTTTTGCTTTGTTTTGGTTTTTAGACAGGGTTTCACTCTGCATTCCAGGCTGGCCTTAAAATAGCAATTGATCTGCCTCACCCTCCAGATAACTTGAATGAAACTTTTTACGGTCCAGAACATTGTTTATCCTGAAGAGTATGTATTCTGCTGTCTTTAAAGGTAAGGTCTATAGATGTCAATTAAGACGAGTTAGTTAATAGTTATTCAAGTCTTCTGTATCTTTACTAATTTTGTCTATTCTAATCATTATCATTATTATTAATGTATTTATTATGGGGACTCACTTTGCAGCTCAACTCCTAGTGACCCTGTTTTCAGCCTCCACAGTGCTAAGATTACAGGTGTGACCACCACACCCTGTCTCTGCCCCAGTTCAGCATGTCTGGGAACAGGGCAATTTTGTCTACTTCTAATTACTGAGAAACAAGTACTGCAATTTTTAACTATGCTTGCAAACTTACGTTTTTGTTTTTTTTTTTTACTTTTAAGTTTCTACCCCTTCACTTTATTTTTTGGAAGTTCTTCTGTAGTGATGTTTATGATTATCTCCTATTAATAAATTGATCTCTTTATCAATATGAAATAGCCCTCTTTAACCCTATCAATATTATTTGCTCTAAATTTTTTTTTTTTTTGTCTTTTTGAGACAGGGTCTTGCTATGCAGTTCAGGCTGGCCTTAAGCTCACTTTGTAGCCCAGGTGGGTCTAGAACTCATAACAATTCTCCTGCCTCAGCGGAGAATGCTAGGATTACAGGTGTGCATCACCACACCCAGCCAAAATCTTTTTTTTTTAAACCTTTTAATATAATCACCCCTACTTTATTTTTTAACTAAAGTTTGTTACAATGCTCCATCTTTTTTTATGCATTAACTATGCCTTTGTACTTAAAGAGTGGATTTCTTATGGATAGCATAGCTGAATCTTGTTTTTTAGAATCTAACCTGACATCTCTGCCTCTTTTTCTGTTTTGGATCATTTAATGTGGTTACTACCATGCAGTCTGTTTTCTGTTGTTATTTTGAAAAGCAAGTATACTTCCACTTCATGGTAACAAAAGAAAACAAAGCACATCAGTTAAGACTATTAAAATATAAAATAGTGATAAATCTCACAACAAATGGACTTTAATAAAAGTTTAAACAATTAAATTTCAATGTTAACAAATTTATCATATTCAATTGGTGAAGGAACAGAAATATACATTAAAAACATACCAGAATAAGTTCAAAAAGGGTTCCTTGGTCAACTTTCAGGAATTCTTGGTCCCAAACAGGGATGTCGTCTGTTCGCTTTTCTTTGTTCTCATCATCCTCAGGAGGAGGAGGGTCATCCTTGTGGTGGGTACACCACTGAATGACCTGTAACAAAAAGTTCAATTCCTATGTGGCATTTGTCATGAGACACATTCCACATTATTCTTATACTGGGACAGGAACTAGGTAGAAGCTGGCTTGAAAAGTAAATTACAGGGCCAGGGAGATGGCTCAGTAGGATAAGCGCTTGACTGGCAAACGCAAGGATCTGAGTTCAATCCCTGGTTCTGCAAAAAAAAAAAATTAATTACAGTGGTGCCTTGGTTCATCAACTTAATTCTTTCCACTATTCTGGAAATACTATGCTTACAATTCAGCAGCATTAAGCACATTTACACTATTATGCACATATGTACTACATTTGTAAATGTAGTTTATTTCACAAGCCAAGGTACCACCATATTAGCCAAACTTAAGAGCAAAAATGAAGCCCAAAGAATCTGTACAATCCTAGAAGGCAGAAGAGCTTATTAGGCAGACAAACCACGCAGTGTGCAAATATTTGACCAGATTAAAAAACTTCTATGAAAAACAATCCTAACGGGCTGGTGAGATAACTCAGTGGATAAGTGTCTGCTTAGGTAAGCGCAGGGACCAGGCTTCTATCCCAGCACATGGGGGCCTGCCCAATAGCTCAGTTCGTTAAGTGCCTGCTGAAACAAAGCTGTCAAACTCTGGGTTCTGTGGTTTGAAACCAAGACACTCAAGCTGAACTAGACCTGTTCTGAAGGAAAAGTCAGCCAAAAAAACCCACTTCTATCCCAGCACATGCTGTGCCAGTGCCAGACCCACCCCCAAGTGCGCTGAGCCAGCCACCAAGACCAGGGAATGGTGGCGCACACCTGTAACCCCAGTACTGGGGAGGCTGAAAACGGGAGGATCACTATGACTCTTAGCTATGTAGTGAGACCCTGTATCAAATATATTTAAAAAAGAAAAAGAATCCTAACATCAGAGTGAAAGATACCTTCAACATGTAAAATCAACTGCTTAAAACTACAGAATACAAAAATCTTAAAAAATTACTACATATAAATAACTTAAAAATATGTACAAGCAATTAAAAAACATGAATAGTCAAATATGCTCAGGCTGATTAGATCAGAAATAGATATTAATTAGAATCACAAGTCAACATTCTGACATTACTATTTGTTGGCAACAGTGTAAATGAAATCTCAATTTTTCTAGCAGAAAATATAAATTGTTATGTTTAAAAATTCTAAATGCTCTAGACATGTGCATAAACGAAGCAAGAAAAATCCATCTGCTTTCTAGGACAACTAAAACATCATGAAGTTTGAAGAAATTAACCAGTTAGATTATGCACAACAGCATAAAGACCAAAATCAACACTGAAAATGTGTTAAAGTGTAGAATGTGGCACGCGCCTGTAATCCCAGCTCTTGGAAGGCTGTAAACAGGTGGATCACTACCTGTCTGATCTAGTAGTGAGACCCTGACCACCCCCCACCCCACAGACCCTTCCTTACAATACAAAACAAAAACAAACACAAAAAAACTGTAGAACGTAGGTGTTAAGTACATGGATGTTTGCTGTGCAATTCTTTTGACTTTTCTGTATCTTTACACAGGGAAAAAAGGCACAAGTGAAAAATTGTACTACAGGATGCCAAAAGAAAAAGTGAAGCACAAGGCTTTAATGAATTAAACAAAATCTTTTCAAGACGTATTCCAAAAAAACAAAACAAAAAAGACATATTCCAATTACTGGGCTGGCCAGATAGCTCAGCAGATTAAAGTGCCTGCTTAGGCAGACCCAGGGACCAGGGTTTGATTGCCAGCGTGCTGTACTGGTCCTGTTCCCAGAGTGTACTGAGCAGGCCAATAGGGACTGGGCATGGTGGTGTGTGCCTGTAATCCCAGCACTTGGGAGGATGAAAACAGGAGGATCACTGAGTCCAATCTGTATAGTGAAAAACCGTAATGAATACTTTTTTTTTTAATTTATTTTTTTTATTTTTATTTATTACATTTATTTATTGTGTGTGTGTGTGGCCAGCTCAGCCCACCAGGGGGCAGGGCTGGCTGGCATGTGGTGCTGGGGGATTGAACCGCGGTCCCTGTGCTTTGCCAAGCTTGTTTCAAGTAGGTGCTTTAGACCACTGAGCCATCTCTCCAGCCCTTTTTTTTTTTTTTTTTTTTAAAGTATTCCAATTACTGTTGGACATGCCTACATTGAACTCAGGCCCTGTGCTTGCCAGGTAAGCGCTTATTCTACTGAGCCATCTCCCCGGCCCACTGTTGGACATGCCTAGAATCTCAGCACCCTGAGAAGCTGAGGTAGAAAGATCACAAAAGTGGGCCCAGTCAGCAAGTAACACACAACTGTAATCCCAACACGGTGTGTGTAGGGGGGGGGGGCGGCAAAGGGGGATCATTGTGGGTTTGAGACCACACTGGGCTACAAAGTGAGCTCAAGACCAGCCTGAACTACAAAGCAAGCCCTGTCTCAAAAAGAAGAAGAAGAAAAAAAAGAGACAGCCCAGCCTGAGCTATTGAGACAGTGAGAGCCTATTTCAAAAATAAAGTGAAGGGCCCAGATTCAATACAGATGGATGGAGCTCAGGTGTAGAGTGTTTGTCTATACATGTACAAATCCCTGGGTTCAAGTCCTAGAATGGGGAAAATAACTTACCCCAGAAGACAATGCTCAGAATTAAGAAAGAATGAGATCTACCTAAAGAAAATACAAAGTTTCTATACCATAAATCATATAGCAAACGATAAAAACTTTAAAGATCTTGTGGATGAATCTTAAGTAAAATAAGCCACTAGGGTAACCCAGATTAGTCACATTCAGAGATAGCAGTTACCCAAGACTGGATGAGATGGGGGAATGAGAAGTTATTTAATAGGTACAGTGTTTCAGTTTGAGATGATGAAAAAGTTCTGGAGACTGCAAATGATAGTGGTCACATAACACTGACAATGTACTTAGTATCACTGAATAGTATTTTAAGGAGTTCAACTGGATGTGGAGACACCTGTAATTCTAGCTATTTGGGAAGATTAGGGGAAGAATCACAGTCTGGGAAACCTAAGACACTCTTAAAAAACAAAAAAGCAGTCCTAGGGGCCGGGGAGATAACTCAGTAGAACAAGGGCTGAGTTCAATCCCCGGTTCCGGGGGGGTGGGGGAAGCAGTCCTAGCCCTCTCTGGGTTCAATCCTCAGCAGGCACCATCTCCCACCACAAAAAAGCTGGGTGTAGTGGCCAACATCTATAATCCCAGGATTCAAGGGCTGAGATAGGAACATCTTCAGTTTGATCCCAGCCTGGGCAACTCAGTAACTTAGTGAGACCTTGCCGAAAAATTTTAAAGAAATTTTTATTATTATTATTAGTTTTAGCTGGGGAGATGGCTCAGTGGAATAAGTGCTTCTCTGGCGAGCGCAAGGGCCTGAGTTCAATCCCCCGGTTCCGCCAGAAGGAAAAAAAAAAAAAAAAAGAAAAGAAACATAGATTTCTTAAGTGTGCTAATGCAAAAGAAAACAACTCAAGTATTCACAACATATAATATTCACAAATAAAAGTACAATTATTTTCAATTGTAATCTTATGACAGGATTAAAGAGGATGTTACATATTAAACTGAAAGATTAGCATTTTGTTATGAAGAAAAAAGTTTACAAGTTTACAGCTTGCTACATTATGAACAAGGAAAAAATATACTTCTGTGTTAATATCTGCATTATAAAACACGAAGAAGAAAGGGGGGAATCATTGTAAACAGATCAGAATAAACAGAATGAAGTGTTACGTGTTCTTAGGTAGTCATGCTTAAGAAGGTAGTCATAATTTAATACCATAATGTTCTGAAGAATGGTGTGTTGATTTAATGCTATTTTGCCAGATCAATAAAAATACTTTAACATCTAGATCATCATAACAAAGTACTTGCAGATATAGCAAATATATAAATATTTGTGTCAGTGGTAGAGGATATGCCTAGCATGCACAAAGCCCCAAGTTCAATCCCCAGCACACACAAAAAATGGTCTTTCTGGGGCTGGGGGGATAGCTCAGTGGTCTAAGAGCCTGCATGGCAAGCACAAGGACCCAGGTTCGATCCTTGGTGCTGGCGTGCCATGCTGACCCTGAAACCGGGCATGGTGGCAAACCCCTGTAATCACAGTGTTGGAGAGGCTGAGATGGGAGATCACTACAAATCTGAGCTGGGTAGCAAGACTCTGTACCAAGTAAATAAAGATTAAAATAAATAAATATCCTTTCTGATGGTAAGTAATAATGGTCAATTGTAACAACAAAGCAGACAGGACTTTTTCTGTATAATATTAAGAAAATTCACATAAGTACTGAAGAACATTCAAAGATTTAAGTTCCAACACAGATTGAGTTACCTGTTCTGTATTAATCAGTGTAGTTTAAAAATAGACTGAATTGACATCAACTGAAAGATATATACCAAAATAAATTTAAGAAGACCCAATGCTATTATGGGCTTCTGTACTCTTTTAGAATATTTTCCTGAGTTTACACACCTATAATATTCAACAACGGAACTTAAAAAAAAATTGGGGTATAACTATGAATGTCCATTTTGTATCTGTGTATTCAAAGTGGTTGGGATAGATATATAGTTGCATTCTCTTAATGAATAGAATGATTTTTTCTAATGGTGTTTGTAAGTAGGATCACAAGTCTGCATCTTGTACAGCAATTAACCACTAAGAAGAATATATGCAGTGTATTATTTGTTGAAAATGTACTTTCGATTTGATTTGAAACTGTCTCATTGCTATATGTTTATCAATAAAACTTTGAAAAGAAAAAAAAAATAAATAAATTTAGATGTGGCTTGTGTTTACTTTCAGGAATTTTTGGTCTAAAAAACCAGTCTATATATCCTTATTTCAGGATCAGAGGAATTGCATGCTAGATTCACAATGAAAGCATATACAAACATAAAAGCTATATATCTGTTAAGAAGTCTAAGCATCCCAATTCTAAAAATAAATCCTTAAAGATCTCACTAGGGCTGAGCTTGTAACTCAGTGATGGTACATGTGTTTAGCAAGCTCAAGGTCCTGGGTTCTATTCCCTACACCAAAAAATAAATAAAAAGCCTTTACCTTTTTTAATATTGCTGCATTAACATTTGGTAGAGGAACTGGGTCATCATCTCCTTCATCATCCATTCCCAAATCTAAGAAAACCAGAAAAGGTGACCATTACTTTTTTACTACATTATGTATGATACACCAACAAGACTATGTTTAAAACCCTCAAGACATAGGCTGGATCTGGCGGACCCATCCTTTACTTTTCTACTATAAATTTGTACTTTAGCATTATAGTAGCTGGCTGTATGTTTCAGTACCTTTACCTGAGGGGCACAGGAAGCAATTTATATGTTTACCCACTTGGTATGACAAACAGTAAGTAATCTGCACATGCAAATGGGATTTGGACCCACACCTATGCTTCATGCAACAGTTTTTGCATATTTTTACCCAAGCAGCACAGAAGGCCAAACAGACCCACACCACCACAGTGTTTTATTTTATTTATTTTTGTATTTTTAGGGAAGGGTCTATAGGGTACTCAGGGTCTCACTACTAGATCGGACTTGTCGCGATCCACCTGTTTACAGCCTCCCAAGAGCTGGGATTACAGGCATGCGCCACCATGCCCAGTCTCTAGGATTTTAAAAAGAAGTTTTCCTTTTATTTTTTTCTGGGAGAAGTAGGCCAATTTGGTACAATGGCACATGAAAAACTAGATTTACAAGCTTTAGAGGAGGTCAAAAGCAAACCATCAGACTACTGATGTATGGATGACCCATTGTGGTAAATACATGTTTCATAATAGGAGAGTGGTGCAGGTGATGAGGACTTTGACAATGGCCACATGAGCCAAAGTTCCCATGACAGTGAAATGGAGCAAGCAAGAACTGACAGACACAAGGACTGCAGACCTGCTGGATTCAGATGACAAAATCTTGACTATTCAAAACATTGCAAAATGGCCATGCAACAACCAATGTTAGGGCTAGGTTCAAAAATATAGTAAAAGTCTTGGCAGAGGTGAAACACTGGACAGAATGCTACCACTGTCATTCAATGTTGGAAGTTTTGAAATGCTGCAAAGTGCTATGAAATACATGAAGGCTGAAATGCAAAGTAAATGTTCTGTATGCACCAATAATCATATTAAAAAATATTTACTATGACACCTCCACTAGCTGAACTGAAAGCATTCATAAGTCTGCTACAGTTAACACAGACTTATGGTGATTACAGAAATATAAAAGGCTTCCAGAAAAGCAATGAGTCAAAATATGGCATGAGGGCTGGTGAGATGGCTCAGTGGTCTAAAGCACCTACTTAGAACAAGCTTAGCAAAGCACAAGGGACTGCGGTTCAATCCCCCAGCACCACAT